CTAGTGTGCTTTTCTACTTTCTTGTTTTCTTCTTACTTTTCTGTTTCTCATAGGAAATTATGTGTTGTAATAAAACTAACTGTTGAATTTGAATATATTATACTATATTATTAATTAACAATTGAACAATCACTGGTGGGCTTTCCTACTTTCTTTTCTTGATCTCACTTTACTGTTTCTCAAGGGAGATATTGAGTTTTAATAAAAGTACCTGCTGAATTTGAATATTTTATATTATATTGGAAAGGAACAATTAAGTAAGCACTAGTGTGCTTTTATACTTTCTTGTTTTCTTCTTACTTTTCTGTTTCTCATAGGAAATCCTGTGTTATAATAGAAATAATTTGTTGAATTTGAAGGATTATATTTAATTAATAAGAAACAATTAAATAAGCACAAATGTGCTTTCCTACATTCTTTCTTTCTTTCTTTCTTCTTCTTACTTTTCTGTTTCTCCTTGGAAATTCTGTGTTGTAATAAAACTAACTGTTGAATTTGAGTATATTATACTATATCATTCATAAACAATTGAATAATCACTGGTGGGCTTTCCTACTTTCTTTTCTTGATTTCACTTTACTGTATCTCAAGGGAGATACTGTGTTTTAATAAAAGAACCTGCTGAATTTAAATATTTTATATTATATTGAAAAGAAACAATTAAGTAAGCACTAGTGTGCTTTTCTACTTTCTTTTTTTGTGCTCACATAACTGTTTTTCATAGAGAATATTCTGTTTTAGTAAAAATAAGTCTTGAATTTGAAAGTATTATATTTAATTAATAAGAAACAATTAAATAAGCACAAATGTGCTTTCCTACTTTCTTTCTTTCTTTCTTTCTTCTTCTAACTTTTCTGTTTCTCCTTGGAAATTCTGTGTTGTAATAAAACTAACTGTTGAATTTGAGTATATTATACTATATCATTCATAAACAATTGAATAATCACTGGTGGGCTTTCCTACTTTCTTTTCTTGATTTCACTTTACTGTATCTCAAGGGAGATACTGTGTTTTAATAAAAGAACCTGCTGAATTTAAATATTTTATATTATATTGAAAAGAAACAATTAAGTAAGCACTAGTGTGCTTTTCTACTTTCTTGTTTTCTTCTTACTTTTCTGTTTCTCATAAGAAATCCTGTGTTATAATGGAAATAATTTGTTGAATTTGAAAATAATATGTTATATGTATAAGAAATATTTAAGTAAGCACTAGTGTGCTTTTCTACTTCCTTGTTTTCTTCTTACTTTCCTGTTTCTCAAAGGAAAGACTGTGTTTTAAGAAAATCTTATATTATTAAATTATAATAAATTAAACAGTTGCTTTCATGAAAACACAGTATTTCCAATTGGAAATAGAAAAGTAAGAAGGATAAAATAAAGTAGGGAAACACACTAGTGCTTACTTAATTGTTTCTTATTTCCGATCCCAATTTTTCTTTCAGAAATGTTTATGACAGTTTCCAATTTGTTCTACTTTTCCACAGTTTCCCTAGATTTCATCATTCCATCCACAAATCCAGCAGGGCAATGCTGGCGACTTCGCCGATGACATACATTGGACCAGAGTTCAGTGAACAACATCATCAACGACGGTATTATTTGATCGCACTCAACGATTGGTGAGTCGCATGAATTGTTTTGTTCCTTCGGTCCCCGATCATGTCGAAGGACGAAAGGTCCGAATCGACACCGGTGACTGATTGTATACGTGGTTGGCGAATATAGTGACCGCGGGTATTTTCCATACCCGCGAGTAATAACATTTACTGTTTTGTTATTTAGTTCAGGGTTTTCTTGTACTCCGCGTTTTTTAAGGTTGGTAATGCTCCATGTAAAATTAAGCATATAATTCTGTAATATCAAAATGAAATTACACAAAAATGTATATAATATGAATCCAATATGGAAATGTTTTTACTTTTGAATACATTGATTATGCAATAATGATTCTATTGATAATATTGTTCACATATTGAATAGTGATCGTTATTTATATTTCTTTCACCTCACTTTAAAATATACTTTCATGATTATCTATGAAGGATACTACAGTCTTTCGTTGTTCGTTGATAAATTTTATGAATTTCATCTTAACTGCACGAACTGCGGCATTGGAGACCAACATCTCCCCTGTGTTTATGCGAGGTCCTATCGCATCTTTGTATAAACAGGAAACCGACTCTTACGAGGGAATATCTCTCTCCTTCAGAATAGGAGACCAGTATATCCGATTAATTTTGTACTTGGTTTTTAGTAGAAAACCTAACATTTCATGTACAAGAAAACATTTCGCGATGGATAGATTTCTGATGGGCAGATCTGAATCAAAGTAATGTACATTCTATGCTGTTTTCATATTTTAACAAATTTACTTTGATGACGGAATGGTACCAAGGCTAGTTAAATATTTTCATTAATAAATTAATAAATTTAAAATTACTTGAATGAATTATTTTAAACTTTTGAATTAAATTATTTTCTTGTTAAATCTTAATTAAATTTTTTTCTTTTAAATAATCAAACTTTAAAAGCAACAATTTTCTTTCATAATAAAATTCTCAATATTAATATATATCAAACTTTTAGTTCAGGATTTTCAGGTTATTTTTCCGTGTTCGTTGGCTGAACTCATCCAAGTGCTCAGGTGCTACTTGCATAAGTAAAGGCAATGAGCACGACGACTATAATAGTATATTTTATTAGCGGCTGACATTGCGTTAGTGTATTGTGCACGACGTACATCCCACATGTGTGTGCGTGTGGTTAGGATGTGGATGTGCGTCGTTTAAAAACTTATTATACCTTAAAAATGAAATTGCATTTCGTAATAATATATTTTAATGAAATCAAATAAAATTATTAAACCTTTATTTCTTATTTTTCAAATAATTCTTCAATAATTAATAATATTAGCTTGGGATACATATAAAATATCTTTTGTCAGACAATGTAAAATTAAAACGCGTACCGTGCACGACGTACTTTCCCCATGTGTGTGTGTGTGTGTGGTTAGGACGTGGAAATTGCGTCGTTTAAAAATTTATTATACTTCAAAAATGAAATTGTATTTCGTAATAATATATTTTTATCAAATCAAATAAAATTATTAAACTTTTATTTCTTATTTTCCGAATAATTTTTGAGTAATTAATAATATTGGCTTGAGATTTTTACGACTTGACGACATTTTCTCGAGATGGGTACAAGAAATTGTAGACCCCTCGAATTATGTGCCGACGACGACCTGTAAGGATTGTCTATCGAAGAGCACACGGACGACATATTATTTCTTATTTTTCGAATAATTATAAAATGGCTAATATTATTAGCTTGGGGATTTTTTCAACGACTTGACATTTTCTCGAGATGGGTACAAGAAATTGTAGACCCCTCGAATTATGTGCCGATGACGATCTCCAAGGTATGTCTGCCGAAGAGCACACGGACACGTACGACGTAACGACAGCATATGGGTACACGGGTAAAATATCTTTTATCAATGTATGATTAAAACGCGTACTAAGAACGACGTACTTTCCCCATGTGTGTGTGTGTGCGTGTGTGGCTAGGACGTGGAAATTGCGTCGTTTAAAAATTTATTATACTTCAAAAATGAAATTGTATTTCGTAATAATATATTTTTATCAAATCAAATAAAATTATTAAACTTTTATTTCTTATTTTCCGAATAATTTTTGAGTAATTAATAATATTGGCTTGAGATTTTTACGACTTGACGACATTTTCTCGAGATGGGTACAAGAAATTGTAGACCCCTCGAATTATGTGCCGACGACGACCTGTAAGGATTGTCTATCGAAGAGCACACGGACGACATATTATTTCTTATTTTTCGATTAATTATAAAATGGCTAATATTATTAGCTTGGGGATTTTTTCAATGACTTGACATTTTCTCGAGATGGGTACAAGAAATTGTAGACCCCTCGAATTATGTGCCGATGACGATCTCCAAGGTATGTCTGTCGAAGAGCACGCGGACACGTACGACGTAACGACAGCATATGGGAACACGGGTAAAATATCTTTTATCAGACAATGTAAAATTAAAACGCGTAGTGTGCGCGACGTACTTTCCCCATGTGTGTGTGTGTGTGTGGTTAGGACGTGGAAATTGCGTCGTTTAAAAATTTATTATACTTTAAAAATGAAATTGTATTTTGTAATAATATATTTTTACGAAATTAAATAAAATTATTAAATTTTTATTTCTTATTTTTCAAATAATTTTTGAATAATTAATAATATTAGCTTGCGAATTTTACGACATTTTCTCGAGATGGGTACAAGAAATTGTAGACCCCTCGAATTATGTGACGACGACGATCTGTAAGGAATGTCTGCCGAAGTGTTCACGGATATGTACGACGTAACGAATAGTTTTATCAGACTATGTAAAATTAAAACGCAATAGTCACTAGCCTTTGTCAGCCGATTTCAGGAAATTGGTACGTACCTTAGAGTGTGAATGTTTGCAATGTCCGAGTGTCGGAGGAACCCCGGGGCTTCCTCCCTAGTTTAGGCCGCGCCCGGACATTATGTGTGAGAACCGTGGAGTGCTTGTTTGCGAGAATGCGTTTTGCTATTTTTTAAATATGGGATTAGGTAGGTAGGTAGCTTACTTTCTGGTGTGTGTGTTTAGACCTAAGTAGGTAGGGTCAGGATTATAGGGCTATCACAGATATTATTTCCGTGGCAGACCTGTTCCTGTAGTTCGATTTGGAGAGTTGAAACGTTAACCGATCCAAACTGATGCTATCGTTTGTTTTGGTTTTACTTTCGATTCTTCGAATCGCGTGACTTTAAAGTCGCTCTTCGCGGTCGCGTTCTCTGTCGCGGAAGGTTTCTCGAAACGCTCGTCCCGCTCGAGTTTCTCCACACCCGGCTGTGTATTGCACGGAATCTCGAGTCTAGGCTTAAGTTTCAGGCTTCGGCAGGACTGCCGAAGAAAGAAAAGACTCGATGAGTCGAAGAGGCCCTGACAAACTGTCTCAAGAGTGGGCTGCAACAAATGGTTTTTCATTTTCATCTTCGGATGAGGATGGAAAATCATTCTATGTTACTACTTTGTCACTGTATTCGTTTGTAGTCGTAGTAATTGTAGATTTTCAGATGGTACTTGGTACCAGAACGGCCAGTGTTTTTGGACAAGTCGCGGTTTGCATTAGTGTTGCGAAATACGAACGATCGTGTTTGATTTCATGGTAGCGTTGCGAATAATTCAAACTTATCGCGATTACTTTTAGCGTTGCGAACAATGAATATTTTCGCGTTTTCTTTCAGAGTAGCGTTACCTGTAAACATTAATCTCGGTTTGCAGTAACATTACGAGTTGGAATTGACATGAATTAGATCGCTATTGTTTTTAGTGTTGCGATTATTTTTTCGCGTTCGCTTTTCAGGGTAGGGCCCAAGAATCACGAAGCAGCTTCATCAACAGGAATCACGAAGCAGCTGCATTCTCAGCAGCGTGGGACGGCTGTACCTGATCATGGTAACTACTTGTTAACGAATATTCTTCTTCTGCTTCTTCATCAGATGCAATGCAATCAATACGTCGATTGTTTTTCAAATCGTATTTCTCACCATATTTAGTTTTAATTCTTATATATGACAGCGTTATAGTTTCCATTACTATTTATAATTCCATTAATCGACTACTCTTAATCGTAATTTACTTCTGACAACTAAATTTTCAATCGCATCCATTGATCGATTAATTACTTCAATGAAATTAATCGATTGATACTCCAATTCGGACAATAGAGCTTTTCAGCCCGTGAAGAAAAAAAAGAATTCCTGTAATTTCTTTTCTTATCATAGTAAGCGCAATGTTTTACCAACGGGCTATGGAAATCGATCGCAGCGCTTGTTATGGTAAAAAACGAAATTAATGGTTTTCTCTTGTTTTTTAACCTAAAGAAGCACAGAACCTTATGGTGTTTTGTGACCCAATCTGACTGCCATACCGACCGGAAATTTGTGATTGTAGTGCCCTCTTTTCGTGCATGGGGGTCAGTTGAGAAACTATTCACTGAATTTCTCATGTGACCGCTATCCATGTGAAGAGGGCGCTAAAATCCTTTGCTATTTTTAGGTCGGTGTGGCAGTCAATTTGGGGCCATGAATGCCCATAAGGTGTAAGCACAGACGAGATATATGAATAGACCTTTCACCGTATGGACTTTCGCGGCCGAATCTGACTGCAATACCGACCTGAAAATTCGGAGGTGATTTTAGCTGAAGGTAACCGACCTACAACTTGAATCGATTCTCGACACAGTTCAATCTCAGTGGCGCTGCGTGTCCACTCCCAGAAGGAGTTAGTACACATTTCCCTTTTATAAAAACATTTCACAACAAGTATTGGACATTCAAATTCGAAAGTTTGGTCCAGACAACTCTAACCCCTCCGTATCAGAAGCATACCAAATTTTTTCTCGTGTATGACGGAAAGTAGAACAAGCCTTTAAGCCAAAGAATATACATATATATGCTTTCGGGTGCTCCTGAGCACTTCGGTGCAGAATGACACTCGATGTTAAGTATTAATTCAGTAAAACGATGGAAAAAGAAATATACCTTTTCGGCTTCTTTCAACTGAGCAACGTACTCCTCTTTCGTAGCAGTCTCGTTGCTGTCCATCCATTTAATGATGTGGTTGCACTTATCGGCGATGCGTTTCCGGTCGTTTTCCGTGATCTGCTTCTTGATCTTCTCTTCCTCTACGGCGTTCTTCATATTGTAGCAATAGGACTCGAGGTTGTTCTTCGCCACGATCCTGTCTCTCTGCGACTCGTCCTCCGTGTGGTATCTTTCCGCCTCGTGCACCATCCGTTCTATGTCCTCCTTGCTGAGACGACCCTTGTCGTTGGTTATCGTAATCTTGTTCTCCTTGTACGTCGACTTCTCGATCGCTGAGACGTTTAGGATACCGTTGGCGTCGATGTCGAAGGTCACCTAGGGCGGAAAAGCAGACGAAAAGGAGAAACGCGAAAGAGCCTTTCCCTCTGCTTCGTTTCGTTCCGCTTCCCCGTCTGGCTTCCGTTCCCCGATGCTTATCCGGACGGCCTGACAATTCCAATAGAGTCCCGTCGGGCTCGTACGCCGATGGCAACAGGCAAGAAAAGGAATCTCGAGACACGAGAGGATCTTTTCACCCTGTCCAGCCGCAGCCCTTGCCCTCACCCTTTCCACGGGACCTATATATATGTATATATCTCTGGCAAGGATTTCCTTCTCCGCTGCGACCATCGCGTCTCGGTACCGACCGCTCCAGGCCTATTCCTCACCGGAATTGTTTTCTTATCTCTGGCCTCCCCGGTTCCACGGAACGTTTATTAGCGGCCTCAGCCTCCGGCCAACAGGACAACCCCTACCCTTTCTCGTTTAATTGCTGATCGGTAATCATTGAAGTGGTTCGGTCATTTCGGTGAGACGGTTTCAGGGAGTTCGAAGTACCGGTATTGAAAGATCCGGATGTTCGAGCGTCTTTATGGAACGATCGCGACGCTTAGAGTAGATCGATCATCGTTACTTTGTCCGCGAATTGTACTGAATTTCTAATGTCTTGAAAGGTCGTTAACTGGAGAAAGCTTTTGTGGGAGTAAACGATTTCTTTTAACACTTTGACCGCCATGTCATCTATATAAGGCACTAGTAAAATTAATTTTCAAGTTGAGATATTGCGGGAAATTTTGAGTAGATTTCATGAATTCTAGTGAGGTTATGAATTCAAGTACTGAAGCAGATTTTAGGTTATGTAATTTATAATGGTCTAAAATCAAAATTTTAATCTTGCAGAATATTATTCGGTTTTGATATAGTAGTGAAGGTGTTAAGAAACTATCTTCGTGTATCCTGACAATACTTTAGTCGATTAAAACAAAATGTTCTAATGTCTCGACGGGAGAATCTAAGAGAAAATTCAATGTTTTTGGAACCAGTTATTTTGCGTGCCACGGGAACAGAGTAAAGAAATCTGGAAAAAGATGAAATTACCCTGTCCCGTATGCACGTCAAACTTAATTCGGCATTTTAGATACTACACCGCCGCGTCGTTGCAACCCGTACCGGCTATCTGCCAATTTATCTAAAATGGCTAAAAACCCTCACCTCAATTTGAGGTATGCCGCGAAATGCCGGCGGGATCCCAGAAAGCTCGAATTTTCCCAGGAGGTTGTTGTCCTTGGTCATCGCCCTCTCGCCCTCGTACACCTGGATCAGAACGCTCGACTGATTATCCGAATAGGTAGTGAAAGTCTGCGTCTGCTTGGTCGGGATCGTGGTATTGCGTTTGATTAGAGCGGTCATCACTCCGCCAGCCGTTTCTATGCCGAGGGAGAGCGGAGTCACGTCCAGGAGCAGCAAGTCCTGGACCGTCTCGGAATTGTCACCCTGCAATATGGCCGCCTGCACGGCCGCGCCGTAAGCCACAGCTTCGTCCGCGTTTATCGATTTATTGAGCTCCTTTCCGTTAAACAAATCCTGTCCAAAATGCAGACAAAATTCGATTATCCGTGGATGCCATCGATTCCGTAGATTCTTTCGAATTGTCCCGAGGAAAAAACGGTCATAGTTCGTTCTAAATCGAAATTAGTAGGTTTAGTATCGCGCGTTGAAGCTTGAGGATAGTATTAATGAGGGGAAAGAACGATCTTTGGTATGTTATATCATTGAGTAGCACATTTCATCGCTTTGTTGCGCTGTGGCATGTACCTTGTCCAAGAGAAACATGTTAAAATTCCTTGACAATGACAGCAAACAAATAACTAGTGGAAAGGAGGCCCCTTTGAGCCCAGAGGCTATTCTGTCTCCTTGGGCTGCGGTTATAATGGAAACGATTTCTCGTGGTCTGACAATCTATTGGTGTAACGTGACATCAAATATATGATGTAAACAAATATGTAAAGAAAAAATGGAACTCTATCGAGTACCAAAAATAGTAATTTTCAAACATTGTCCATTCAACGTTTACGAAATTAAGAATGTGAAACTCTATTCGTTCAAATCATAGATTATGTATTCAATTTAGTCCCTTGGCTACCGAAAATGTTAATCAGTTTCGCCGGACGGTTAATCGCTAATTGAAGCTAATGATAATTTATCACAATAGACGCTGGACGCTAGTTCAATTACTATTATTGCTGTGAAAGATAAAAGTCGAAACCCAGCGTCGCGTTAAAGGCTATAAATATATTCGAACGGGTCCCGCGTTTAATGGCACCGGTAACGTAGTGACTATGCCTAGGGGTCGGACAACGCGAGTGTTGACTTTGTCATCGAGCTCATTAATTCTGTAACGTTCGCTCGGGGGATCCCCGGTGTTGTTCGTGACCGTACCCCTCGTCCAGCTTTCCGAACCCCACTTAAAATGCTCGTCGCTGGGGTCGCGCGTTCCCGTTAGGAAACGTAATCGAATTTTAATGCGTTTTATCGTCGAATCTACCGTCTGCGTCATACTGACTTCTTTTTAACCCTCGAACAAACGGATGTTGGGTCATTCGAGACCCAGCATTGTATCTTCGTTTGTCAGAGTCGAAATTATGATTCTCGAGTCACGATATGCACTCGGGCAATCAAACCTAAACAACCAGATTTTTCTTTTTTTAATTATACAAAAAAAAAAGACTGTTTAAAGTATGGTAAAGCAATTGTTGAGAATATAAGCAAATTTTGGTATTTTTGAATCGGATTTGAATATTAAATACGTTGCTTGTTTTATTTTAGGTTCTTGTCGCATAGAAGAAAAATTAAATTTTAGTTATGTTGTAATTTTTACACTCGTAGTACATTCGAGGGTTAACGAAGCGAAAATCTAGTAATTTCGATTAAAAATCTATTCCAGAATCGAGTAATCGAGAAACGTCCCATTCCAGGTAGCGTTTGCGTTGCGAATCGAACAAACACGCGAAAGAAAAATTTTTCCTTGCGGAAATATCTTCCCACCCTGCCAAATAAAATAACCTGAAGAAGCCGTTGTATCCGCGGGATTCTGGTTGAGCCTCCGACGAGCACTATTTCGTGTATCTGCGATTTCTCCATCTTGGCGTCGCGCAGAGCCTCCTCGACAGGCTGCAATGTGTTCTTGAAGAGATCTTGGTTCAGCTCCTCGAAACGGGCGCGGGTGATCGACGTGTAAAAGTCGATCCCTTCGAGGAGCGAGTCGATTTCGATGTTCGCCTGCGTCGACGACGACAGGGTTCTCTTCGCGCGCTCGCACGCCGTTCGCAGCCGACGGACCGCCCGCTTGTTCTTCGTCAGGTCTTTCTTGAACTTTTTCGAGAACTCTTCCGCGAAGTGTGTCACCATACGACTGTCGAAGTCCTCGCCTCCCAGGTGGGTGTCACCGGCTGTTGCCTTAACCTGAGGACGATAGAGTGACGAGCAAACGTGGAAACGAGCGTAAAAGGCCCTCCTTCGCGTCTGTTTGTTCCCCGAGTAGATACACTGTCGCTCGAAGCTATTGAACCACTCGTCGTTTTCTGAAAACTTTTCTAGTTCCTTGCAAATTATGAATAACAAGTCTCAACTTTTCGTGGATTCTAATGGATTTTTAAAGTTGTTAATTCCATTGGATGTCTTCGTTGCGTTTTGATATAGTATCAGGCTTTATAAATATTGTTTTTATCGTGGTGTATCTCTTTTAAAAAATGGACGATTCCTGGCGAGCGACAGGTAGCTCCATCTCGATAGAATCCGACGCGCAGAAAAGAGGAACGGCGAACGATTTACACAGACTCACCTCGAATATGCCATCGTTGATAGTCAGTATCGATACGTCGAAAGTACCGCCGCCGAGATCGAAGATCAGAACGTTCCTTTCACCGCGTCCCTTTTTGTCGAGGCCGTAAGCAATAGCCGCGGCAGTCGGCTCGTTAATGATCCTCAGGACATTCAAGCCGGAGATAGTGCCAGCGTCCTTGGTAGCCTGACGCTGAGAGTCGTTGAAGTACGCTGGTACCGTAATCACGGCGTTCGTGATGGTCTTCCCTAAATAAGCTTCCGCCGTTTCCTTCATTTTCGTCAAAACCATCGACGAGATCTCCTCGGGAAAGAAAGATTTCGCCTCGCCCTGAAAGCAACGCGCGACGGAAAATTGACTAAAAAACCGGCACAAAGCCCCGGTAAACAGCTGTTTCCTTTTTCATTTGTTAGCCCACTAAAGGCTGCCGCTCGGCAGCGGTTGCCGAAATTGTTTTCTCGACGATGGAAAAACGATTTTCCTCTGAAATCTCGTTCCAACGACTTAGCTTCCTGGCAATAATTGCGGAGACGTCGGCGTCGTAACAAATTTCCCTCTTGAATAACGCATAAAAATTTTAGACATATTCGTAAATTAACTTCCGTCTCGTTTCGTTCGCAAACTGAAATCCATTAACGGACCTGTTTTTCAAACGACACCCAGACGAGAAAATTCGCACGCAAAAAGCTAGTTTACGAACGAATTAAAATATTTTATTCTTTATTTGTGAATAAAATTTACCCAATTCCGAGATAGGACGGTGGCTATTCGAGCTATGTTTTCTGAGATCACGTTTTTAAAAGCTTTAAAACTTCGAAGTAATTTGATGCCGTGCAATTTTTATTCCCCAATATTTAATTATCAATTTGATTTCTTCTCGCTGCGGTAATAAGGATACGTCGTCCGAATTATAGAAAGCTCGAAGCCTCGAAAAATGTGACCATGAGAAACGAGTTTTGCCAATCGCAACACTTGCTCTCTCTAAACGAACCTGGGTGCTTAGGCGTTCTATCGTCCTGTCGAAAACAACGACATTTCTACGCGACAAAGCCAAACGAAATATTCCACGCTAGCAACTGTAATTACATTTTCCGTCAAAATGTCAAAGTTTATGCCGTCGTGCATCGGCAGCCGTTAACCAAACGAACTTACTTTGTACTGGACGCGAATTTTCGGCCTTCCAGCGTCATTAACAACGACGAACGGCCAATGTTTCATGTCGGAGTGGACTGATGGATCATCGTAGCGTCTGCCAATCAGTCTCTTCGCATCTGTCGGAACGATTTCATTTAGGCCCGTTCGCCAGTCGATACCCGGTCGATACCGAATGCTGGCAGCGATCGCGTAATTGGCCGCGGACGCGAACGGATCGAGGAAAGAACGATCGCTGTTACGTTCTTAACATCGTAAACGAGCGAGTTGCCTCGGCGAGCGAGCGCATTCCGGCCTCGTCCGCTAGCAACTGCGGATTCCGAAGCGGTGAGTCGATTTGGCAGCGACGAAACGAGAGCATTCACAACTTTACAGCGGCTTCCGGTACCGTTGCTTTTCGCGGGCCAGCAACTCCGTCGGAAGCCCGGAAACGATCGTGATTCTTGTAATCCTAGCCACGCTGCCAAATCGCCGGACCTCGCCGCGGTTATCGGGAATTCAATTCCAGAACGCTCGGTTTTCTACTTCGTGTGCACGTATCGTTAACGAGTCGTCGGGCGTTTCGTGATTTTCTCTTCTCTTCAAAGTTGCAACGTATCGCCTCGCTAACTGATCACGAATCACCTCTAATACCGATGATTAATTATATAGCAAAACAGTCTTAGCACAATTACATAAAATATTACTAGCATCTAGATTCTTATTTTCTGTGTAGTTCTAGAATATAACTATTATTAAAAATACTGAAATATTTATTGACAACTATATTACGCTGATATAAGAGTTACGTAGAATTAGGTTTCTAAAGCATTAACTAACACTTTGCAACTACAGGTCAGATCTTTATGATTTGTATATTTATTTTACCGAAACTTCTCCGTCCAATGAAGGATTCATAAAGATGCAGTAGAGCAACGGTTGTAGGGATGACCACGGTTCATTTATCCGGGGCAGAATTCGATCAGTTAGCGAGGTAATACTGTATTTCGTTTATTTTCTCGGTGGTTGCTTACCAAAGATCGTGTTGGTAGGATTCATTGCTACTTGATTCATGGCGGAATCGCCGATTAACCTCTCAGTGTCTGTGAACGCAACGTAGCTCGGCATGGTGCGATTCCCTTGATCGTTGGCGATAATTTCGACCTTCCCGTTCTGAAAGACCCCGACGCACGAGTAGGTCGTACCCAGGTCGATGCCAACCGCCGCTGCTGCCATTGTGAATTCGACGAAATTTCGGAAGCCAAGACGGGAAACGAGACTGGCTCGACTGTTTCGACCGTCGCGTCTCGGCTATTGTCTTCTTCCTTTCAGCGCCGCGCGCGATTGCGCTAAATTACGACAGAAATCATAAATATACAAGGAGGCGAAATTCAGGCGGTCTTAGCTACTGTTTTGTCGAAATTTGACGATTGAAAATATGCTACAGGGAAACTTCGAATAGCGAATGGCGGGTATATTCTATGTAAAAGCAAGCAACGGTTTAGTAAATCTTTAGTTAACCTGGAACGTGCAATAAACAGATGAAGTTCTTTTATTTAGAGTGAATCACCATTATCGTGTATGAATACGAGTCGAAGTACAATTATCAATTCGGATATAGGTTGAAAAGTAAATATTTCACGAATTATTTCAAATTTCTTAATTTAAGATGTACCGTTTATTCAATCTTAACAAAAAGCGGGAGAAAATTAAATTTAAATTTAAATTTAATTCGGCCGTTTCGACTGAAGTTTGAATAACCAAAGGAAATGAAAAATTAAAAAACCATTAAAGATAAAATCAAACCCAAATCTACTCTAAGAGAGATTTAAATTTAAATTTAATCTTCTTCTGCTTGGTTTAAGGCTGAATAAAGAGTCCATTTCGTTTCAATCACAAGCTTTCGCATAGAATTCGCTCAAGATGTTTAAACGTTTCGCTATTACGTAAGAAGTAATTTCTCAAATGTTCCGAATGGATACTTGAAATAATTAAGCGTAACATATTTATCGTGCATTGAACTCGGTGTTTAACCGAGGCTCGCGACAATTTAACGAATCGTACAGTTTTATGATCGGTGTAAAATTTTAACGAACCTTCAATTAAGGCGTATAATTTATTCCGGGCGAGCTTATTTTAGTTTCATTAAGACATCTTGAAAATGCAATTCCTGTTTAGTACAGAAAGCAGAACGAATTTCGTTTCGTTTAAAAAACAATCAGCATGGCGGAGGAAAAGAAAACAGAGAATCGGATGTTACACAGACTGCGACGTGACATAAATTAAGGAAACGTGTTTCTACGAGTGCGCTGGTTTTATGCGCGACAAAGAAATACCGCTGAAGGAAAGACGTAATCTCGCCGGTTTCCGAGATGCTTCCCGTGCCGTTTGCCAACTCTGTCCCAGTCTGAAGCGATGTTTCCGCTCGTCGTTTGATCATCGTGCAATTACAGCGGGGTCATTCTACGCCAAATCGATCACGTTTCGCTGTCGACGTCGATGATTCCATCGAAATTGGAATATGATGTAGTGTGCGCAAAATTGCGGAGATTCGAGTCAGTATTTTACTGGTTTCGGATTTATTTGACAAGTACAAGACGTTGCGTTTTTAAATTTCTAAATATTTATATAATAGATATTACCAATATAAAACTAATAAATTTAATTTATATTAATTGGAGTTGTATTATCGTAAATCAACGGTTAATTTGATGACATATATCCAAGTGCCTACTGTGCAAAGTTTAACTCTCTCTTAAGAAAATTTTGTACCTTAATATGAATATATACAGGGCGTTCGACCACCCCTGGTAAAAATTTTAATGAGAGATTCTAGAGACCAAAATAAGACGAAAATCAAGAGTATCAAGTTCTTGATTAAGGCTTCATTAAAAATTAAATTAAAAAATTTCAAATCATTCTGAAAAAATTATTTTTGGTTGCGGGGCTCAATTACAATCATTTTTGGTGAATACACATAACCTTGAATTCCTACCCACTTTCGAGAAAAAAATTCGAGTAGGTACTGAAATTTTGAGACGAAATTAAAAAATTTCAGATCATACTAAAAAAATTATATTTAGTTACAGGGGTCAATTGCAAGTATTTTTGGTGAATAGACACACCCTCGAAATCCTACCCACTTTCGAGAAAAAAATTCAGTTCGGGCGGAACTTTGAACGTTAATAACTTTTTAATGAAACTTCCATCAACAAATTAGTATTCTTTATTTTCGTCTTCTTTAGACCTCTAGAATCTCCCATTAGAATTTTTCCCAGGGGTGGCCGAACACCCTGTATATAGTTTTCTTAAGAGATAGTTAAAATTTGCGTAGTAGGCACTTGGATTATTATCGACCGCAAAAAGCGATCGATTTCGCGTGGAATGGGCCCGCGGCGATCAGGAAGATCGAGCGGTGTCGTTTGTAAATTTCGCGCGGAGCGATCGATCGCATCGCGTCGATTCCCCTCCGTCAGGGAAGGAACGCCGGCGTTCGTGACCGGGATTACGAATCGTTCCACCGCTGATGATAGTCCATTCCTGGCGTGACGCGCACAAAGGGACGCGCTGATACGGCCTATCCCATTTATGGTTCCATAATAAACTTTCCGTCCCGGACGACGTCGGTTTTCCTGCGAGGATGATCGATAACCGTGAACTGGAACGCCGGTCGAAAAGAGTTTCCGCGCGCCCTTGTGGACCTCATTGACCCTCCGAGGAGAGAAATATTTGTCAGATACGGAACGAGATCTCCTGTTTTTCCTTATCTTCCTATAAAATTCTGTTACGCGTAGATATCTTGAATATATTCAATTCATTCTTCTTCCAAAATGAATTAAAATAAATCAAACTTTCGAGAATAATTCAGTCAAAAATGTCTTCTTCAAGTGTAATTGAAATTTAAATCCATACATTAGTTAGAAATGCAAGAAATTAAAAAATAAATTCACAAGAATCGAACGATATCGGTCGTGAGATTAATCTAGACTCGAACGCACGATTAGAACGAATGTATTTTTAGCGGGATCGTGTGTGAGCCGAAAAACTTAGCTAGCCAATTACCGCTGGTCGGAATTAATTCAACGACGTGTCTTCTTATCGGGTCTGGAACAGGAGCACCTGTATATACGAAGGAGATCCGCCCCAACGTGGTCCACGTCGTCGAGGAGGAGCCCCCTAACGAGACGGTGCTCGATAAATTTATCTTTAAGGGCAGGCACGAACGCAGAACGTAACGCATTAATTCACCAATCCTTTCTCGAATTCGCAAAAACACAACGCGAGCGGCGAATTTAATATTCGATTTTGCACAAAAGAATTCGTCGACGAATTTTGGAAAGGTCAATTGGGGTTGCCTGGTCTGGCAAACAGAACTGTTTAAATCCTGATCCAATGATTTCGTAGGCCAATTCTGTTACCACTTCAGTTACCAGAAATTGGTTTCACTCTCGCGTCTGTATTTCGAATTCTGTTTTGTGCACGACCATGGTTGGGAATGGTTGTCAAGCCGAACCGACTGTGGGTTGCAACCATTCCGGGATATAAAGCTTAGGCCGCGATTACAGAGCAAGTACGAGTGATTTAGAGCGATTGTACGTTTAATCGTAGCAACACGTAATAACGGATTTCACTGATCTATCTGCATTATGCATATCGACGAGCAATTCTATTTATTAGAAAACCCCCTATTCGTGTAAATCGCACTTGATAGAGTAATATTGGGTAAATCATTGGTTTACAAATTTTACCTTCTCACGGCATCCTTTGGTAAAGAGAAACTTTCAAAATATCTTTTATCATCAACAGTGTCGATTTAAATGGGACATCTTGCAGTTTTTCAATAACTCTTCCTTTCTTGTTAAGAGTCATAGATTGAAATATAGTTGTAGCTTCAGAGGTGACTAAAAACTGAAAAGAGTTGAATTAATTGTTCGATATCCATTTTATATTAATCCCGACCAAAGTTAACGCTATTACGTGCCACGACCGCAGCCTTAGAGAAACAGAATCTCTCCGAAGGGATCGAATCGGGGTCGAGTAATCGGATTACTCGATTTTCCTTGTACACCGTGTAGAACTACAGCACCGATCGACCATGGACCTTAAGTCACGGATGGCATGAAAATCTGCGTGCAAAAGTACAAGGGGGAGGGGGGGGGGGGTTCTTCGTGGAATAGGGACAAGTTACATGGGGGAAGTAAAAACGGGTTGGAAGGAAAGTACATAGTAAAAGCAGGGGTGCGAGCGCGAGAAGGGGAAGGTGATGCGAATATCGAGATTGGATCGGGGAGGGGGATGGTTGGCAAACCTCATAAATATGTCGTCAGGCTGGTAAACAAGGGCACGCGAAGTCGGTACAAGTCGTACCCGAGGCGTGTACACGCACGGCGTATTATAGAAATGTTCGATGGCCGCGGCCGTGATCATGGTTGTGGTCGTGGTCGTGGTTGCGCCGCGACCGGGATTTAAAGCCAGGAAATTTATCGTTTCGTTAGGAGGCGGACAGAAGCGACAAAAGGGATGAAGCCCTCTCGTGTAGAGGAGAGGGTTGCGGGAATAGTTGCAACGAGGAGGCGGAGGACGAAGGAACGGGCGAAAACGCTAGCTGGAAAGTGGAGGAGGAAGACAGCCAGCGTCGAAAAGCTCTGGCAGACGACCGAAAAGCAGTCGTCTCTGAAACTCGGCTACCCCACCCGATCTGGCCGCGATTCAACGACCGTTCCGTCGGCCCTTTTCACCCTAACTACCGTTCTCGCCATCCTGGTCGCGTTGCTTCCCGAAAGGAATCGCGATTTTCCCCCGCAGATCGAGCGGAATATCGCGATCACCTGCTTCGAATTTAGCCTCGTTCTCATCTTCCACATTCTTCCAGTTCTACGCTTCCCTCCCTAAATATCTCGACTCCTAGAAAATTCAGATAAACTAAAATTTTTGGACTTCTTTTAGGTACTGTGTTCTAGTTGGTTCAAACAGTTCATACACATTGTCTTGGATCATTGTTCTGCGCGAACGCAAAATTATTTCCACCAAGCCTCTACCCTGATGAAATAGCGTTCTCTTTTGAAATGTTCAAATATTGTTCATTTCGCGATATTCCTTTCACTTTCACTACGTATATCCCCTACACTGTTAACACCAAACCACTATCATGCTTAAGGCATAACACAGTCTGGAAGATATCTTTCGATTGGATCTAAGATCGGTGAAAGAGTCCACATCGTGTTTTGCGTACTTAACGTATTCTGCGTCGCCTCGAGCAAGTAATATTATGAATTATGTTTTCACTGGATAGATTAAGTAGATAGTTTTCTCCTAGTCGATGATCTCACCTGACACTCTGCAATTAAAACACAAGCAAACTGAGTTTACTTGCAATCGCTTTTCGTTACTTCCATACGTTCGTAGCTTTGCCCTGCGTACTTACAACTCAATTAACTCGTCTTCCTCTTTTCGTTAACACGAGTTTCATATTAGAAAAATCATTTACCGCGCACTACAGTTTTTTCGTATAGGTTCGGGGAAAATGTTGAATTCATCCAATATCACCGTATGAATATTTTGAACACGTATGTACAAGTCAGAATTATTTACGGTTATTTCGCCGGAATATATAAATAATTTACTACACGATGGAATGCAAAGAAGTATTCGGTCCAGCGAGCGTTTTATCGCAAGAAGCGTCCAGCGTATTGTATATGCGCGCACTCGAAAATTACAGAGGTTAATGAAGTCGTGCTTTCCCAGGGACCGCCGTGTATGAAAATTACACGAAAAACGTCGTTGCAAGGAGTGCTTACTTTACATACAGAAAGCCGACCGGGATTTAGGAAGGTACTGAAAAGTACAGCTCGTTAAAGTTAAATGACTCGAAGGACTGCGAGAAAGAAATAATAGTGCCGTCCCTGGGACTGCACATCTGTAATTAAAGAGTAGAAAAAGTACTAACATCTTCTGGTTAACGTTCGCTTTTATAGCGTCTCGAAGAAGCACACAATTTCAGCGCATTAACTATAGTATACGAAGGGCCCACAGGAAAAAGGGGGAACGTCAAGTTTTAGCATTTCACAACTTCGTATTTTTTTGTAAATTCACAAAATTGAATATTATTCGAGGTACAAAAATATATTTTAAGTCTTCCTTTCTAAATGAAACTCTCATGTTTTGTACCTCTTTGCAACCACCACGCCAAGAGGGTAAAACTCGGATTGTCTCGTAATTTCGAGTCGCAGAAGAGAGGTGATCAAACGACTTCTCTCGGCTCCAAGATATATTTGATCGTAAGGACGTTTTCTCTTCGGTCTTTCTTTCTAAACAGAGATTATTATTTGTTGTATTCTCCCGGGATACGGCGCGTACGGTCGTCGAAACGCGCGCGCGACGCGAATCGGCTTCACGAGGCTCGTAATCTGCCGCGACGAGCGGTGGCTTCTGTCGTATTTCTCGCCGGATAATAGACGTCATAAATAACGAGTCTGATATTGAATGAGAGAAAAGTGGGAACCGGTTATAATATTTTCAGTGCATCGGCAGAGCCCGCGGGGCTCGCGAGCAGAGCACGGCCAATGGCGGCGAAGGAGAGAGGGTAACAGCGCGCTGCAACATTTCGAATATAAGTTAGCCGGATATTGTCCGGCGCGGGGCGAATGGTAAGGGGCTTAGCAGCTCTCGAGCAGCGGCCAATATGGTGGTTACACGAGGATGAAACGATATAAATCCCGAAACGCTTACAGTTATTGCAGATCCAACGTAATATCCACTCGAACGCTGGCCGGCCGGTCGGTTTACGTGGTAATTCGCCGATGACAGCGTCGCGATAAAATGAATATCGGTCCGACGGCTTTTATAACGGGCTTCGACGCGGTAAACTTCGCCCGGGAAGTCCACGGGGATGAGCTCTTCGAAAATGAGACGACACGATCCGCGGAGGAACGGAAAACCCGACACGTAACGTCTCCGATTTCGCTCTCGCGCAATTTAACCCTACGCGAGTAACGACGATTGTCGATCTTGCCAGCGAGAATTCCTGCGCTTTACCAAATATGAATTTCGTCTTCCTTGTACAAGAATTACTCAACTTTCAGTACGGGGGGGGAAAAATATAATATGTTTCTCCTCCTTTCTTCCCGACGACGATCTTTATTGTGTCGTTTGTTTCTTCGGTCTTGTAAGCGAAAGCAATTTCAGATACAGTTAATCCCACTCGTATTCATATATTATAATGGTGATTCGCTATAAATGGAAAAGAACTTGTTTCTTATGAATTGAGCCGTTGTCTTTGGTACGAGTCCATCTCTTCATACATTGAGATTGTGGCGTCGCCTCCCATGCTCGCCTCCAGAGGGGTCGCGTTCTCACAACCGCTCGACCGACCCCTCGGTTGCTATACATATATACATTCCTCGAATGACTTCCCTCCTTTCCTTTTCTGTAATTAAAAAGAAATAAATTAATAAATATAAATTAAAAAGAAAACTTGTCATCCGACGTAAATAAGAAAAACAAGTTTCTTTTCATTTATAGTGAATCACCATTGTACAAATACGAGTAAACTGTAGACGCACACGTTTGGACATATCAGAATTTTAATTGACAGATATTAAGTTACATTTTAGGGCAACTTCAGACGAGTACGAAAGTGGTTTGAAGATGAACATATCAAAACTTAAATTAACCTTTTTAGTCTCTCAGGTTGGAAGATTCAGGCCACTGAGAGTAATTTTAACAGCGGGTGCAAAGTTTCTATCGAGCCTCTTTCCGAGTCGTTCTGTTTTTATCTACTACCATCAAATGTAACATCAAAAGTAAGCGCGAAGTCTTTTGGAGGGGAAAGATGAGATCGTGTATCCATATCACGGAACACGTGTCTGTAAAATGGATATTTGAGACCCGAGTGATTGAGTATTTTCATCCGCGCGACTAATTGTGTCACTAAATGTCACGCGACCACTGCAGAGTTAATGTTCATATAATCGATAAGTAAATGTATTTTTACAACTCTGTTCGCGACGGAGACCGTGTCACTCGTGACCGATGGTTACCGTGGCGACTTTTTACCTGTATGATGTATTACACGAGTCCGTAAACTATTTTACAGTACGTTGCAATATGAAATGTCTGTCGAGCGGGGGTTAGTTTTTGCGTGACATGCCAAGATGTAAATCATGACGAATTCTTCGGTTAATGTTCAACGTGGCAAAGAACCAAAGAAACAAATATTCTTCCGGTTTCGTAGAAGCGTACTTTATTACTCATAGTTACGAAGTAGGTCCGTTGAAAATGAAAGATACGTTTACAGCACTTCAAATTTTTACTACTAATTCAAATTTTTCTACTGGATCATCTATATCCTTCGATGTTAAGTTTGTTCTGTTTTTTTATTTGATACATGAACGAAACGTCGATCATTTTCAGCGCAGTCAAAGTGCAGTTTTATATATGTAGTTGTAACGTGTGACGTGAAAAGTGTTTCTTTCGAGAAAAGAGAAGATGGAAGTCTCAAGTCTCTGTATGTAAAGAAAACATTCAGAGATAGTGGAGACTCCATCATGATAAAGGGGCGTATGACATTTTATGGAACAGGTGCGATTCATCATATTGATGGTATTATGAATCAGCATATGTATAAAGACATTCTAGAAAGCTATTTGCCCGAAACAGGGGAAAAATTTCGTATTCTGAAGGTGAAATAATTTTTTAACAAAATAGACACCCTGTATGTCGCCACATATTGCATACTCTATTTCTTTCATTAATTTTATTTATATTCTCTTCTTGAGTGGGTTTCGGTGGAGAAGATTCGAGGATGGAAACCTCTTTTTCCAAAATTGCTCTCTTAGCGTTGTTGATGGAATCTGGAACTTCAGTTCCGAAAATTTTTATTCGATAACATCTACTTCTCTCCTGATCTTCCAATTTTGTAGATAATATTTTCTCGAGATCTTGGTTAAAGATTGTACGAAATTGGTTAAGTAACTGCATATTTGGAGAGTCTTGTGCCTGAGGTGTATTAGAGGAATTATTATTACATTCCATGAACGAAACACCAGAATATGAATGGCCAGTTCTCCATAGGCAAGCTAGATATGCAATTGCCTTTGCAGTTGATTTACAACATTTGTAACGCATCCATGTTTCTACTCTGACTTTTGTATGACTGTAGGCGCTTTTTAAAATTTAAAAACGTCCACTACAAATATATTTTTCGCTACCATCTATTCCCTATTCAGGTGACGCTATAACGAGCCCGTCCAGGGCTTTAAAGTCTCGCTGCGCTAAAATTACAACTAAAAGAAAAAGTAATCCCAAGGATATTGGGAAACTAACACCGTTTCCGTGCTTCGTGGATCGAGAAAAGAATCACGCGGTACAAAGGGGCATTAATTTCTTCCTTCGATACCGAACGGTACGTTCGAGAGATGGACTCGGATAATCGAACAAAGGCATATGCCGGAACGGAACGCGCGCCGCGAGGAACGAGCCGAGCCGAACAACCCACTTCGTCGCGTTCTTCTTAAAGCCAGCCATTATTCTCCCGTTTCGTTCTCGTAAGTCATAAATAATACGCGACGATCAAGTTTTCGCCGCACACGCAGCAACCATCGAGAGGCCGGGCTGCAAATCCCCTCGCGAAAGACGAAACGGCTCGACGTTGGATCTCCGGGGCTCGTATCGAGTGTCGCGCCGTTACCGAAGATACACGTCTTGACAAATCTCATACGGTATTCATGGAAACTGCGTATTCATCAATGAGACGATCGCTGGTCCCCGGATAAAAATCTAACTCGCGCGTCGAACGCGTATGTAACTTCATCCCTCGTTCCTCCTGACACCCCCGTCGCCGTTCGCCAGTCTTCCTTGCCTCTTGGAATATTTGAGACCCGCAAGAAAGAGCATTTCCGAAGGGTGGCGGCGGACGTGGGTGTACACACATCGACGAGTGTGTTATTTGAGTTATTTCGCACATGGCGGCCGATCGATAGGCATCGCATTGCATTCGGCTAGACCCTGTCGACTCTCCATTCCTCTTCTCGCCGCGCTATCTACGACGCACATGTCGCGCGACGGACAGTTATATCCAGACCCGAAGGACGCTGTCTTATATATGGAAATGTATTATACCTTCCCCGAGACTTTGACCTGTGGGGTAACAAAGAATTTGCACGCTGTTGGTACGGTGGTAACGTTTATGCGCAAAACAGACGTCTGTTGTCAACTATCTCTTCGGAACTCTTGGAAAATATATAGTGAATCCGAGGCGTTTATGCATAAAGGTGGAATCACCAAGTAGCGTGGTCACCGTTGATCGAAATGTCCTAAACGGGAACATAGATCCGATCGATGTTTCAACAAATGTCGGTGCTTCATTTTTGAATCAATTAAAATAAATATGAAACACGACCAAGCGACACTTCCCACACTCGCCAACAGAGGGCAACGCTCTCTCACAAATACTCGACATACATACGCTTCTCGACTGACCATCGAACGTCCCGGCGTCTCCTACTATTTCCGGTACCGCAGTTAGTTTCCTCGCTGACGCCATTTTAAAAGCGACAACAGTGTTACAGTTCACATTTTAAATTTACTCACACAGTTTCCGCGCTATGGACTCCCGCTTTACGAAACGGGGATCGACAGAAATTAATTCGTGAAGAGATGGGAACTATCCATATTGCGTAAAATGAATTCGAAACCTTCCGACGCATTTAGAGCATAAAAGGATTTAAATCGCGCGACGATCGTACCGTACCGATCGGACTCCCAGCGCTGGAAAAATTAAGAAATTATTTAATTTCCGTTTAATCTATTTGCCCATCGACCCGTCGAATTCTAATCAAATTTTCATTTCGCGCAAACCGAATTGCATCGCAACATGGGGAAAAAAAACATTTTCGACGAACGGTCATTGCCGGGTTGAAAGTTGCGATCGTTCGATCGTTAAATTTCGATAATCGAGAGGGGGGGATCGAATTAAACGCGAACGAATTTCCATTTAACGTGTGCACGCTCCCCGCCGAAACGTTGATTCTGCGGCTGGCATCGTTAGGTCCGCGAAATGAGAATACGATGGCTGTCATTTACAGACGCGTCGGACATCCACCTGGACATGATACGAGGCCGGGTATAATTAATCCTTCGCGAACAAAGCCCGCGTTATAGTGTCCCGTAAGTTGTGACGGCAAAATTACTCGTCAAGTCGCGCAAAGAGCAAGCATCTCCCCCCTCTCTCTCTCTCTCACTCTCTCTGTTAACCCCGCCGTGTTCTGTAGCGTAATCGAAATTACTTGCGTCCGCTAGGGCTATAAACGCGAGAACGAACATCCGCGGAACGAATGATGAGCACCTTAATGAAATGTCTGCGGAGCCGATGTCCGTACTGTACGGTAAATAAGAATCCAGTGTTTCATTTGCGATACCGTGATTTTTTGCGAGCTGCTGCGTCGCTTAATCGCTAAATGGGGAAAGAAGGGGAATTAGGACACCGCGGCGGACGGCCGTGCAGGTACGGATGATCCGTTTCCGAAAGTTACAAGCGCAATATAGTCTCCTCAAAGGGATCAGCATGAAGAGATGACTTCTTTTGCCCGGATTAGGTGCTTGGTGACACTAGTATCCGAACCAGGCCAAACTCCCAGGGGACAATGTAATCTGTTGGGCGGCGGGAAGGGAGGGAAATAAAAGCAATTGGGCGTTTCCTTTGGAGTCTGCTAATTAGACTCATCAGCAAAACCCTGGCAGACTTTAACTCGGAGACGAATATTTGAAAGAGTTTGAAACTATAAATGCATGAAAATTAATTAGGTTCTGGGTGGCCATTTTGCTAGTATAACCGTGTCTCGTGTTTTCCGTTAATTCGAACACACAAATCCTCCTTGCCTCCATTTTTCGTACGCCTTCCAACGAAGACGTCTCGCAAGTTCTAATTACCGTGCAACCTATCGAATCCATTTTCCCATCTCGCCTGCTCCTCGACAATCTACAGGTAACCGAATCCGTCAGACGTGCGGAAGCATGTCGATCCATTAATTCGTGCATCGAATGCAGGAACCCGCGCGATTTCCCGGCGCTCGCCGCTCGCCCTTAATGGAGTACCGGTTATCGGTTAAATTTCCAATAAGACTTGGGGTGTGCCCGGGGAATCGTTTCGCGGCTCTGAGCAGCACGTTCGCGCGAGCGCGAACCGGAAGATAGTTTTGACGCTTGCTTCCAGTGGCACCGGGCCGCTCGGTAACCGTAATGTGCCAATAAAAATGCAAAGTGCGGAGGCCCTTCTTGGGCGGCTGCTCGGGAAGACACTTCTCGCGGCGCACACGTTCCCGCCGCTCGTTCGTTCGTGTTCCAACCCCGAAGGGACGGGTCGCGCGTTCAGATTGAATGCGCGGCTCTTCTACGCGCCGCGGTGCTCCAGAGACGCTTCGCGAGAGTGGCTGCGAAATAAGCATCACGAGTGGAGCGACAATGCCACTTGCAGTTTTTTCATCCTGCTCGGGTACCTTGCGCGGGAACCGAAAGGGCTAGATCGTGGTGGAAATTTTATTTATTTATTTAGTTGTTCGTGTCACCCAAGTTGCTA